AAGGATCTGAATAACTAAGGGGTATTTATCCATCCATCCATCATCCATCCATCTATTCATCATCCATCCATCATCCATCCATCCATCATCCATCCATTATTCATCCATCCATCCATCCATTCAGTAAGATACTAGGTAAGCAAAGTGTTTGTCCATATTTTAATTTTAATTTTTTAATTTCAGGATATTACAAGGGTACAAATGTTTTGGTTACATACATTACCTTTGCACCACCCAAGTCAAATCTACAAGCGTGCCCAACCCCCCAACATCATACCCTCCCCGTACCCATTAGGCGTGAATATACCCATCCCCTCTTCCCCTCTCCCACCTGCCCGATGCCCTATGAATGTTACTTCCACACGTGCACATCCTAATATGACATGCCTTGCACCTCATTGGAATTATGTCTACTGTTTGTGTCTCTCTTGTTAGAGTGGAAGTCTCTGGACCACGGGAACCTTGACTTGATTGTCTCTCTAGCCCCAGCACCCAGCACCACGCCTGGCACACAGTGGGTGGATTGTATATAGTTCCTGAATCGAGCTGTAACAGAATGGAGAATGCAGAGAGAGGGAGCCTTGTTGGGTGGACTTCATGCCCCATCTGCTGTGTGGGTTTAGCAGGGCTGCCACAGACAGCTTGGTATGTAGACTACAATGCAAATGGTGCTCTGGTGCAGCCCTGATCTCCTTCATTCCAATCAAGTTCAATAACGTGCGGAAGTGATAAGTGCAATTGCTTCATACCACAGAGCGAGAGTTAAGTTCAGGTTGGGAACTGAAGTGAGGTCCTCCCACCTCCAAAGCCAGTGCTTTTGTCCTTGATGAAAAAATAACTTCCTTACAGCTCTGACATGCCTGTATTATTTCTCTTCCAGCTAGCGAGTAAGCTGTGGGTTTGTGTGAGGGTAATAGACAGGATTCCTGGGAGTGAATTAACACAGTTTCCTGGCAGGGATTTTGCATTTCCTACATCTCCTAACTAATTAGACCTTCTGGAATATAGCCCTGTCCAGCGTTCAGATGAGCCTTGGTGTGCAATGTCAATGTCTGGCCAATTTTACTAAATATTTTGGTTTCTAATGTTTCAAATAGGCCCCATTTGTTGGCTTGGCCTACTAGGATAATTCTGGCCTTACATTAAATGTCGGGAAAAAACACAAAGAGAGTCTTGGTGTTTTCCACACAGCAGACACACACATACAACACCAAACATAGTCCCATAGTCTGCCTTCCACATGTAACCCCAAGTAGCCTATTCATGGATCTAGTTCTCTCAGAGACTTTTAAACATTTTGTGTTAACTTTCATCTAGACGATGTCTGAGTCTAGGGTCTAAACATATGGCAATCTAAAATAAATGAGGACGTTCAGCTCCTTGTCCCTTCTTTTGATGAAAGTCAGTCTCATAACAAATCAAGGCCCAGATTTTGGGGGCAGAAGGGCTGGGGATAATCTTGGCATTTCCCCTTGGTATCCATGAGGCCTTGGGCAAGTTACTTACATTCTTTCAGCCTCAGTTTCCCCATCTGTTCAATGGGGATAACTGTCCTTGTCACAGAGAAATAACACATGTGAAGCATCTGGTAAAGTGTCTGGGACAGGAAGATTCGTGGTAAATTATGGTTAGTATTGTATTATGACTCTGAAAATAATATTACATTCCAGTAGGTCTCGGTGCCTGGTTTTCGGTGTCTCATTTGGTTTTCTGCGCATTCTAGCTGTTTCCTTTCACAATTGCTGTGTTCCCCATGATCTCAGTCTCCAGGAGGCCTGGATTTCAGTCCAGGCTCTGCTATGGACTGGCTGTGTGTCTTTGGACAAGTCACTTAACCTCTCTGCACTTGTTTTCTCACCTGGCCCTTCCAACTCACCCTCCTGTGGTTCCTGCCCTGAGATATCCTCTGCAAGCTGTGCTCTGGGAGGGGACTGTGAGAAGCTGAGCCTCAGGGGTAGGGCCACCTCAGAGCTTCTACACGTCTCTGGCCTGCGGCCGGGTGCAGAGAAGCAGCACTGATTGAGCCGCCAGCTGGTGTTCTTTCTTATTTTGCCAGTTCAGAAAGCCTTCATTTTCCTCACAGAGCCTCTGATCTACATTACAGCGCTCTTTGACTCAGGAGGCCTCAGTTTCTTTCTTGCCTGGCTGAGCCGGGCCTGGGTCCCTGTGGAAAGGGCAGACTGGTTCAGCGGCAGGTTCGACAATGACAATTGGGAAGCCACAAAACATGCTCCAGCCCACCCCACCCTAGTCCTCCCAACCCCTTCGGGGCTGTGCTACCTTCCAGCCCCTTCCGCGAGCAGTTCCCTTGCACTGTTAGGGAACCATAGCTGTGGCGGCTCCCAAGAGCTGTGCTTCAAGGATGGACAAATGTGCACACAGAGGCCCCTGTGGCCGCTGCTCTCACTGGAAGGCTGT